GATAATGTAATCGCTCGTGAAAAAGCAACAAACGGAATAATGAAACGCCGTTCGATCTATAAACAGAAAGAGGCTTGGCTTATCACAAAAAACTTAAGGATTCCATTTTAGATACTGATAACGTACCCGTCCCAAAAATAATGATAAACGAACAAATAGAAACGCCAATCGAACAACGTTGTCCTGTACTTCTGCAGAGTGAGCGTGATTCTTGTTTCAAATGACTTTTGTCAATTCCTATTTAGAACTTGATAACCTAATCGCTTGTGAAAACGTCATCTTGCTTTATAATCTACAAAATCTATCCGCAGAACTTATTATAAGCAATTGCTCGTGAAAAAGAAATAAATGGACGAAAAATAAAGACCATCTTGCTTCAAAATCTATCCGCAGCGAACTTTAATAGTTCCATTGTAGATAGTTGATAATGTAGTTGCTTGTGAAAAAGTAAATAAATGAACAAAAAAGTAAAGCAAATTCAAAAGACTTTGTTCATCCTATTTGAGTTGGTTGATACACACTCATCTCTGAGAAAAAAATGCTATTCGAGCAGAGGAAGCTTGTATCGTGTTACTCAAAACTTTTAAGACTTTTGATGATGCGACTGATAGCCTATACATTGCTAGCACGAATGAGTGCGCCATTCTAAACATTGTGACTGATTTCCGATATAATGTGAGTTACGTAATCTGACGCACTTATTATCATGAGTATACGTTGGTTTATTTTTAAAAATTCTGTACAAGCCCCCAAATCTGTAGTTTGGATTTCTTATAAAGCAGGCGTCTATTTGCATCGTCAAAAAATCGTCCATCGTCTGGTCAAACACAGTTAATCTTATCGTCTTTTCGTTCGCGCTTCGATACGACCATTCGATGGACCCCTCGTATTTCCGTGCCTTGATGGCACTCGTTTTTTTTATGGCTCTTCACGACCTGCATCGGTATGCTACATTAATATATTTAATTATCTATATGTATGTATATGTCACTTACTTGTTTATTTTCCAACATTTGATATAGTCGCAGTCGTGGAGAAAATTATGAATAAATTGAAGGATATACAGATGTAAGTCAAAATATAATATGCTTGCTGAGTTTAATATCGCCTATTAGTCTAATATCGCTGACAACAATGTATATATTTATTAATTTTAAAGTCTATTGCTATGTATATGAATGCTATTAAAACTATATATGATAATAAAGGATACTGTACAATGCATAATTAAAAATGCCTATTATCTAATACGTGTAGATCTTTAAAATGTAACCTAATGCTGTAATGCCTCAATATAAGCGTAGTCTCTTGCTTATAGTCTAACTGTGGTAGTTAAATCACGACAGATGGTTGTAGTGCGACACTGCAATTCGGGTGAGAATATTCCATCCATTAACAATTCAGATGCTGACATACCTTCCCTAGCATCAATAAACTTCATAGTCATTATGTTAACGGTGATCATAATCATTTAGTTTCTACCATTATGCCCGCATGTTACAATGCCGGCTGCATCTATAGTAATAGAGACGGTTTCTTATTTAATTCGTGTTGAGTAATGGTGATGATCATAGAGGGAGCATTAAAGGAGGGATGACACTGGTGAACATAAATTTCGTAATAGACACCAATTGCCAGGAAATATAAGAGATACAGTTACGGCATGAATGCAGAACTATGTAGCCTAGAGTTGAGACGGGTGTTGGGTGTATCGATAAAGGGAAAGTCTGGCAATTTGCTGGCTCATAATTAATAATAGCTCGGCTAGTATGATAATGTAAAAACATCGGTTCAGTAATTCGAACGGGAAGATGGACGTATTGGAAGAAGAGTTTCGTCAAACATATACAGTTTGGTGGCGCGTATCAGTTCGGTGGCATGATATGTGACGGATGACATGAAGATTGATAAGTTAGGATTAGAGGGAATGTGATTGGAAAGTACAGTTTTTGGAAAGAATGTCTTGTCTAATATAAATTGAGCTCTGCTCAGAGAAGGGGAAGAAGGTGGCAGTCAACATTTGTAAGAAGCAATTTAACAGACTCGGAAATAGGATGATCTGCATTGACTCAATTTAACGATTTAAAATTATATGAGCAGAGCACCAAATTATTCACTGTCTCGTCAGAGATTGCATCCCACTCCTCAACCATAATTTTTTTCAATTCTTCAATATTTTGGGCATACGTTTTTCGACATTGTTTTTTATCATGTGCCAATAGGCATCAGTAAATATTGTTCGGCTCCATTGATGATGCGCTACGTGGGAGGTGGCGTGAAGAATGGTTAATGAGACAAGACGTGATTTTCGTCGACTGGAATAGCCTCTAAACAGCGTAGGAAATATAATTACTGGATTAAATGAGAACTTCGTAAGTTACAATTAAGAAGGATCATAGATTAGGAAATCTAAAGAAGAACATCCGGATAAAATGGGACGGAGGCTTTCGAATACATACGAGTCTATAACGCAGAATGGTTCGGTCGATGTGACGCTGCTACACCCAGCATTAGCAACTTGAGAAGGATGGTTTACATCAAATGAGAAGTTTGAAGATATGAAGATAATGCTTGCACGTAGAAAACTATCTGAATGAAAACTCGAGCGAATAGAGGCGGTTTCGTCGAATATAAGAGTCGATGGCTTGCCCGATATGATACTGCACCAGCATATGAAGGATAGTTACAGCATTGAATAAAATTTGGTAAGTTAGAGACGAGCGTGTTTGGAAAGAGCAACATGAGGATCTAGAAAGGGTATTGGGTAAAGGTTCATTGAATCTCATTAGAAAAGAAGAGTATATATCTGTGTTTAATAAACAACACGTACGCTAGTACATAGGTGTATCAGTACATACTAATTACAGTTCACTATTAAAATTTCTGCCACTTATACATGCATCAATCGCTCACGGTGGGATAACCACAAGTCAGCGACCCCAATGAGATATACGCTTTCAAATATCTTTTCATGTCAAACGTAAAGTATTATGATCATCCCATTGCGGATGTTTCCATAGATTAATAAATACTGTATGCTCATCTGGAATGTCTGACAGTATACGGCAAGGGAAACCGCTTACCGTCAACTCGGTCATTTATGTCCATGTGTGATTCGTTCCATGCTTCTTAGTTCTCCCGGATTCGTTAACGCACTCGGCGATAGCTTCTAAACTTTTGTTTTGTCTCTAATAGATGGCGGCTATGCTATTATTGGCAAAGGAAAAGATTATCTATAAACAAAGTCTGTCTACCCCTTATGCCATTCATCTTCCGGTAGCAGTTGCAGCTTTACTCTTAATATTTCAAATAACCTTTTAAACAGTATAGCTGACATGTCTAATATTCTGGGCTTCTTCAACTGGTAATGTCCCTGTTGAGAGGGTGATTGCTGGGACGCAAGCGTTACCAAAGTCAAGAACAATATCATTGTTGTCCTCTGGTGGATTGGAGTAAATAGGTATCACGTAGGATCATGAATAGCCTCTTGGAGAAAGGACCCAGAATTCAAACGTCATTTCGCCAATGTGTTAACAAATCCAGTGTTGAGGATTTTTACAAAGTTCCATTAATTAAGCTTAATACATTACTGAAAATTTCCTGATCTTGAGCATAATAACTCGGAAAGCCGACGTAAGCATCATTCCCAAATATATCATGATGTCTGGACGAATCAAGTGTTTGGCAACGTAATTAATGAAAGTATCGCCTATGAGACGGCATAGATCCTTACGCGCGCGTTCACCGTATTCTACAGTAAATAGAAGGTATCAGTCAATAAGCCATTAGCTATTATCATTGTCGCAACGGATAAGTATAAAACGTAGAATATTATATCTTCTCTACCATTTGCAATTCTTGATTTCGTCCATTCATTAGCAAAACGTCTCATTATTAAATCACAGACAGTATCTTGAATTAACCTGACGGATGATGTGATTAATCAATGGCAGGAGAGACCTAAAGATTAAATACGACGTTTTGTCAACCTAATAATCAACCTATGCGAGCTAGGATTTTTGGGACAACTTACTCAAATGGCATTGTACGCTGTCCAGCTTTACAAATACCAAAGGCTCTTTTGCTTTAACAGAATTTTTTTCGCTATGATCGATCATTTTGAGCCAGAAATGATTGCTACTCGACATTACCAATGGAATTAAATCTGTTGATTCCTTGTCCTAAATCAACATGCCATGTAAACATATTTTCATAAAAATGCACTGACACCATTAGCCAACATTCCAGTTATCCAATTTGTGGTTACCTCTGTTTATCAACAAAATTTTGTAATCGAAACTTCCTCCGGCCAAATATTCTAGCAAGGGTCCACGGCTAGATCTTGTCTCCCAAGTGCCACTGTCCCTGATACCGTAACAGCTCGTCCATCATTTGGTATGACATTGATTGTAGCTGCAAGATAGGAGAAACAAATTTATTAAATGAGAATTTTCACAAAGACCATTTTGACATAAATTGCGTGGACTTATAGAAAGAATGAGTGTTACCGCGGTTGATAACTTGTAGTGACTATTGGAGAAGTGAATCAGCCAGCGAATTAATTCGTTCCAGGTATTCGGCCAATTGACAGAGGCTTGGTGAAGATATTGTACAGAAGAACGATTGATCAAGACAGACACCTACCAGTCTCTAGAGATCTTGACCTGGATAGTGTGGGCACCGAAGAATAGTTTGCAGCCTGATAATATGACGAAAGAAATAAATCCACTATTATTCATACCTTACCTGCAGCATCCAAACTATACTTGATATTATTCACAAGCTCGTCCTCATTAGGGTAAGGGTCAATTGACGGATACTCTTGCCCACGATGTAGACATTGGCGTGCCCAAACATCGAGACCAATTGCTGCCCCTGCAAAACCTGCATGAAAACCAAATGCTGCTATTCTTCGACCTGTAATTAACGTGAACGTTATCTCTCCGGTCACATTCTCGCCCCCTTCCTTCCCAGCCCTTTTCTTTTCTTCGTCGACTCACCTCTTTCGTCGTTTAAATATTCAAGGTCTAAGATTGTCCCTCCTCCCTCGATGAATCTCCTTATAATATATTGCCATCCGGCTTGATTTTTGTAACAATGAGTAAAAAAAATATGCGTATGTGCAAGTGGGGAGTTGTCGTTTTCGGGTAGTTAGGAGCGAGAGTACAGCCTGCTCTGGAACCCCCCGAAAGGGTAATATGAGAAGATGCTTTGATGCAAACAAGATACGTAAAAACTGAAATGTGTATCATTGAGTGACTTACCTTTCATATTCCTCATCATCAAATATTGTGAGGATCTTTCTACGGTTATCTTAAACCCTGTGTACGGATATTATTAAGTGAATAATTGATCATCGATCGAGAGTTCGAGTCGCTTATTCAAGTCTCTGTAGAGTCTCCTTCTCCACTATCATTTTTACCACGTTCCAAAAGCGTTTGACATTTGGAGGATGTAATTGCAGCTCTATGTACATGATTCCCGAAGAAAAAAATAAGTGAGCAATTTTTTTGGGAAGATAATCTATAAAATTACAGTCACATGATCATAAAAATCAATACTTTATTAGTATGCGATGGGTCATTTGATTACTGTTGCGACGTGTTCACTAAACTAATGGGCTTTGGGCATTTGGAGAGAATTCTTGAGAGCATTCGGATTGCCAAGGAGCATGAGAGTTGGGCCTGAATTAGAGATCACGTAATCAAACTATCTTTCGTATTATATATGTCATATCAATGTATTCTGATTAAATTCATCTTTACGTATATAGTGGATATGGATGTTTTGATCATTTCATTGAAGGTGAATTAATGTAGGAAACGTTGAATACCTTACTCTATTTTATTAATTCATATCGATTCCGCATCCATGGGAAGTAATGGCCAAGATACTTACATCTGACGATGCAAGATATTCTGCTGGATATATCGAAATGTAAGCAGATTATCTTATTGGCTTTTATAATTGACATCTTCGCCCTCTTTACGTTGATCATTTTATAGTGAATGAGATAAATTTATTCCCAAGTGCATTCTCGTGGATATTCCACGTAGTCAACAGTAGGAATTCATATTTGATTATGTTTCGCGTTAATAATATTAAGGAGACGATAATTTAACCGCCACATATTAGAAAAACGGAAACGTTTATTATTGCTCACGTGTTATTTAAAAACGTGACAGAACCCAAAAGGGGAACAGACAGTAGTACTAACAGACAGACAGATGGAAAGTATTACAGTTACATTCTGAGGCTGTGGATTTCCCTAGGTGTCCCTGCTGAATCCCAAAAAGAACCGCGGTAAATGGTTGTGCGTTTACCATTTCTAAACGAACCGCAGGTTTCAGTTCTTCGCAAAAAAGAAAACCCAAATGAAACTCTCTCTCTTATGGCTCTGGACGTCTCATGCGTCTACCATTTTTCATATTAATATATATCCATATCCATACGTACCGTCTTTGCCCAGAAGAGGACTCTGCTCTGCCATATTAATATATATTTATATGTACCGTCTTTGCCCAGAAGAGGGCTCTGCCATGTTAATGTATATTCATATGTACCGTCTTTGCACAGAAGAGGGTACCTCAATCAAAAATATTTCGGGCTAAAGGCAGAAACGAAAGAAGGGGTTGACGGCGAACTACGGGGATGGACGAAGTTGTCTTATGACATTTATAACAAGCTACTCATCACTAGTTGGTTTGGGCCGCCTAGGCAATAATCGCCTGTGTACTTACCAAGTATATGGAGCCGACTAAGCAAGATGAGAAGGTGATGGCCTGGGGTGTCATGTGACAAACGCTACATAGGCAAACACAATGGCATCCGAGCTTTCTATGGCTAGCCACATGGGAACGGCTCCCCATTGGCCAACCCATAGCCACCATATCCACCATATCAAACACAACACCCTCCACCTTTTCCACTAATACTAATACTGCCCACATGATTTTTGTGGATGGCACACAATCACAACCTCTCCCACATATTCCTAATCCCTCTTACACTCAACATCAATCTTTACTTAATACAATCCCTGCAATCAGCAGCCATTCTAACTCTCTGGAATGCCTTCACCACAAGGGCTTTCAGACATGAATCCACTCCCCCATACTGACATTATCAATTCACCCCCTGGGTTACCCCCAATTACAATAGAATACAGTCACTCATTAATATATCTAGGAACAGATACCCTTTTCCCTATAAATCCACTCTTATATCTTATGGGCTTTTATTCTCTTCTTCTACATGTAAGTAGATAGATAAAAACAGCTTAAACTAAATAAAAGTTACTTGCAATAGTTATAAAAGATTAGCTAACTTATTCAATAATTGTCAAAAATATATTACATTTTATTGCTATATTAATATACAGTGTGTAACAAAAGTTTTCGGAATTTTTTATTTACTTATTGCTCAAAACTACACTTAACAAAAAAATATTAAAATAAAGCCCATAATCAAAAAATTTTATTGACATAAATTTAATAATTTATTCTTTCACCATTGTTTTCTATTATTATTATCATCTGACATCTCCTTATTGACCTGATACAGTTAATTAGAACATTATTCAGAATTCTATCACATACACATTCTTCTGCCATATACTGAAAGGTTTTAGGCAATACAAATTTCTATGTTTCTTTTAACAATGGCCCAAAGATTTTCAATAGGTTTAAGTCTGGACTATTGGAAGGCCAGAACTTCATGCTAAGAAATGCCTGACTTGTGTGCTTGGGTCCATTATTATTATCTTGCTGGAAGTGCCAATTGCTCCTAAAAAGTTGGTTGATTTCTTGCATATGACTTTGCAAAATATTGAGGGATTTGATAGTGTATTGGTAATAATGCTTTGGACATTTTGCATGAGGAGGAGAGCATACATAAATAAACACAAGCTGGAGCTAATACTAATGTAAAAATTCACATTCATAATGTTTCTAAAGCAAAATAAAGAAGTTTTCCATGTATTAATGTTAGGAAATTTAACTTTACTGAATAAAAAAGTATTACAGATCCACATAATAATAATATGAGATGAATTGAACAGAATTCAGAACACCCATTTTGTTGGGTTACAAGACATTATACTTACAGTTAATACAGCCTCTTGCTAAAAATATTAATATGGGGATGTTTGTAATATGTAGGGAGTCTGACAATGATTTTATTTCTCAAAAACATACATAATAATTTCAAAATAAATTACTACATCCCTTCAAAGTACTCTCTGTCTACTTCTATGCAATGTTTAAGCCTTTTCTGCCAACTCTAAAAGGTTTATAGTGCTCATCTTTTGGCAAGATTTTCAACATTCTCAAACTTCCACCCAGTTCTTTTTTATTCTAGGAAACAAAAAAAGTCCCAGGGAGCTAGAAAGGGGGAGTCAACAGCAATTGGGCCCTTTCTCTCTTTAAGTAGCTTGTAACAACTTCTGCCTTGTGAGGTGATGCATTGTGAATCACATCATGAACAGTGTGCCTGCCAGACATTTCCATAAAGTTTGCAAAAACTTCTGGCAGTTGTGATGCGCCGCAATCGATGACGTATTCTCTCCTTATTTCTGCGCTTCTCCAGCGGTGCCGCAGTCCAAATCAATCGGCGGTAACACCAGCGCAGCTGCGGATTTCAGTGTGGGTAGTACGGACCCT